CACCACCACCTGATCAGCTGGTATACGTTGATTATTTGCCCACAGTGGCCGAGATGATATGATGGGATGTCCTTAGAGGCTTGATGATGTTATGTACGCATATACCTATGCATGGTATGACATTTATACGCATATGCATGACATTATAAATATGAAATGATTCACAGAGCTATTCAAACTTACATGTTGAGTCTTTTACTCCATATTTCTCTCATGTCTTTTATTTACTGATTTTCATTCCTTACATACTCGGTACATTATTTGTATTGACGTCCATTTTGCCTGGGGATGCTGCATTTCATGCCCGCAGGTCCCGATAGACAGGTTGAGAGACCTCCAAGTAGAAAATCAGCTCAGAGGAAGATGTTGGTGCGCTCCATTTGCTCCGGAGTTGCTTATTTGGTCAGTATAATTTGGACATGTATAGATTAGTATGACGGGACCCTATCCGGACCTTTATGATATTTATGTACTCTTAGAGTCTTGTAGATAGATCTCATATATATGGATACTTGTATGGCCTTGTCGGCCTATGTTTTGAGTATATTAAGGATCATGCCGGCCTTATAGGACCGTACGTTACATGTATAAGTTGGTATATCAAGTTGGGTCACCCTATATTGAGTATTCCCTCATGTTTTATTCTAGTTATCTCACGGCAGCCTTTTCGACTCATTTACCTATAATAGTATGATGCGAAAAGATACGTTACGTTGGTACTCGATTGAGTAAGGTACCAGGTGCCCATCGCGGTCCATCGGTTTGGGTCGTAACAAAAGTGGTATCAGAGCAATTCTGTCCCAGGGAGTCTACAAGCCGTGTCTAGTAGAGTCTTATTTATGGGTATGTTGTGTACCACACTTATAAGCAGGAGGCTACGGGGCATTTATGATTGTCACTATTTCTTCTTACTCTAGATCGTGTGGTAGAGCTCAATTGTAAGAACTCAATTTCTCAAACTCTATCTTATTCATAATACAACGATCTCTACATCTAGAAAGACATTTGGTAAGAGATTGAATATGGTTGTGGAAGAGTTGAGTCAGAGGAACTCGATTTTACATCATGCTTATGATGAGTAAATGTAAGGTCTTCAGCAGAACATATGTGTACTAAGACGTGTAAGCTTCTTGATAAGCAGCCTTAAGGTAAGAATATCTATCCACCGATATGGTGAGAAACAATGAGAAATTCAGAAGCTAGATGCAAATTTCAACAAGTAAAAGAAGCAAGGTGAAGAAGTTTAGGAAGTACCCAGTTAATGAAGATTTTCAGTATTTACAAATCAGGCAGAGAAATATAAGCATTTTGAGTTAACTTCAACAGTAACAGCGGTATATACAATTAGCCACACATCTCAATTATGCCCTATGAGAGCTAACAGATATGGCTTAAGAGAAGGATGGGATATCAGGATCCGGTTGGGGTTAGAGTAGCCCAAAATAGTGGATGGATTGTTAGTGTTAGTTGACATTTCTGAAGGATAGTGCAAACGTGGTAATGAATCTCCTTGTGAGACACCTAGATGGTGCACTCTAAAATAGTACAGCTAGATATGAGTATTACAAAGATAGGCACTGGA